AAGCAAATGCTAGTCAAGATGTCGATAAGTTGAGAGGATTCACAAAAATGCAAGTAAAAACAAATAGATCAAACCCAATGGTATCACTATGAACACACACACGGAAGATAGATGGGATCCGCACAACCAAGGGGTGAGCTCAAAATATGCAACCACGGAAAATGCTCTTGTTGTGAGAATACTAGAGAGACGCTAGCTCGATTGCTCAAATGGGCTAGATACGCATGTGCACCAACCTATAAGAGAAACGTGCCATCTTCAATCCCAACTATGCTACATATGAGGTGTCGAAGATGATATGAAAAATGGCTTGATGCTATTGCTTACGAGCTCTTTGTTGCTCCTCTTTTGCTTAAAAGTTTTTCTTGTTTTTTTGAAGCTAGAGCCAAGTATGATATGAGACAAGTATGTAAGATATGCACGGGAGAGACTTATGGCACTAAGATGGTAACAAGATCACTACGGTGCACAATAGCGTGGCCCGGCAATTCTCAACTTGCTAGTCTCGATGGGTAAGCTACGCGAAATGGCTCGAGTTATCAATGCAAAAGCAAGGGTGAGATGTCGTCGCAGTTACCGTCCGATCTTACGGTAAGAATTAATTTGTTGAAGCCGGTGTGGTGTCCGAGTTGATGATCGAGTGGCGGCGATGATGATGTCCAAATGCGCCTAAGTAGCCGAAACACCTTAGGACACAAGAGAAACCGTGGTCCGAAACTCAAACAACCACGAGAGATAGTGCGGAAGAACACGAGTATTGGTATGAAAGCAAAATGGTGCAAAACAAAAGATGGCCGAAAGTTTCTGGATGGTCTGTGCGCACGGGATAAGTGAGGCCCGTGTGCACGGGGTCTCGAGGGCCCATGTGCACGGGGGGTTCTGGGAGCGGATGACAAGCTCCGGATCCGTGGTGATTTTCCAAGATAAGGATAATTTCGAGGGTTTGGAAGGTGGGGAAGCAGGAAGATGGGTAGATCCACTTGCCAAACTCCAAATTCGTGGATCAAAACAACCAAATCTCACAAGATCCAACAAATTACAAGAAAAAAAGTTTTAGGCTATTTTTGTGGGGATTTTCGAATTTGGACGAAAAACAACAAAATCAAGCTAGAAAATTGGGGGATGGGAGTCCAAGATGTGAATCAACCTTGCTCATGATACCAAAATGATATAGGATGAAATCCTAGAGGGGGATCTTTTCACACTTGGAGGGGGAAAAGGGCAAACTCTCAAGAACACAAAGAGGAAATCACTCAAACAATTCTCCAATTACACATCCACTAGAATAGCAATACAAGATCCACAAGTCACAAACACAAACAAAGGAAAGATACAATGGAAAAGTTCTTCCCACTCCTAGGAGATGAGGTCTTGAAGATAGTCTTCTCCTAGAGGAGGTCTTTAAATCCACTAGGATTCTTCCCAAAGGGGCCTTGATTCCACAAGTGGGAAGATAGAAGGAGCAAAGCTCACAAATATCTCATCTCATACTTTGCTAACCCTAAACATAGCCCTAGGTACGGTTTATATAGTCTTGGGGTCGAAGTAGATGAAGAGGGGTTCGGATTGGGGATCACAGCCGTCCATCCTGGGAGGCCCGTGCGCACGGGGTAAGTTGGGCCCGTGCGCACGGGGGTCCCGTGGGCACGGTACAGGCCCGTGCGCATGGGGTGCTCCAGCGTCAACTTCCTGGGTAGTCCATGGACACGGGGTCTCGGGGGCCCGTGCGCACGGGGTCACCTGGGACTTCCAGTTTTGCTGCTGTTGCACTCCGTCTTGGTCCGCGTGGCCTTGGGGTGGTTCCTCTTCTCCTTGGGGGGTGCTCCTGAGCCTCTTGGTGGCGTTCCTCTTCGTACCTAATGAGACATAGCATATCTTGGTGAGGTAGCAACAATGTTCCATTCGTATCCATATGCAAGCTAAGTAGGAAGGAGTTCACCTTAAGTACGGTAGGTCCACTTGGAGCTTGATGTGCTATGAAGGTGTACATGGTGATGTCCGTAGGATGCTCCGCATCAGGGATCTTGAGGCGAACGTTGTTGAAGCGCTGGATGTACTTCTGGAGGGTCTCGCCTGGTTGTTGCTTGACGCGGCGTAGGCCACCAGCAGCCGGTGGGCGGTCGCGAGTGCCCTGAAAGTTGGCAACGAAACGGTCACGCATCTCGTTCCAGGAGGAGATTGAGCCTGGAGGCAGGTTCAGGAGCCAGGAGCGGGCACCATCCTTGAGAGCCATGGGGAACCAGTTCGCCATGGCTTTCTCATCGCCGTTGGCCGCCTCGATGCTCAGCTCGTAGAGCTGCAGGAACTCCGCGGGGTCGGGGGTGCCGTCTAGCGAGGAGGCAGATCCGGTTTGAACTTGCCTGGCCAAGAGACCCTACGCAGCTCAGTGGTGAAGGCGCGGCAGCCTGCCGTGGTCACCGGGACTCTGCGCTGGTGAAGAACTTGTCCTTGATGGGGTCTGCGCACCGCCGCCGCAGGTGGCACGCGGTCTTGCTGTGGTGACGCAGGGAGCGCGGGGGCGTTTTCTCGCGGCCGAGGGACTTCTTGGCAGATTCTTTCTTCTTGCGCGGGCGCCGGACGTGGCAGGTCGCGCCGAGGAGCCATGCGCCAAGACTCTGTCTTGGGGCAGAGGTGGTGGAGGCGCTCCATGGGCCACGCCGCCCGTGGCTGGCGGAAGGCGAGGCAGCGAGAGGGACGGCGCAGGGGAGCCCCCTGCGACGCTGACAAGCTCGGCGATGGGCCGAGCCAGTCCTCGTAGAGGTCGTCGACGGGGCGATAGTGCAGGAGCTCGCGCACCATGCACAGAACGTCCTGCTCGTCCACGGGAGCACGATGAGCGTGGGATGACGAACCGGACAGGGTCAGCGATGGAGTGGCGGTGTGGCTGTCCCGCCGCACCGAGGGGTGCAGCTAGGATGCTTGCTACTCATTCCCCGCCAGGCCGGTGACGGCGTTGGTGGCAGGCGACGGAGAATGACGGGTTGACCCGCCGACGGGAGCCGTCTGAGCAATGCGGGCGGCGAGGGTAGCCCGGCGCTCAGCGCGAGCGTGGCGAGCGTTCGCCATGGAGACAATGGAGCAACGGGACGCAGAGCGACGGAAGAGGAGCTTCGGCGCACCCCTACCTGGCGCTCCAAATGTCGGATCTCGGGTTCCGGCAAAACCCTCAAGGTTCGAACACTAGGATGCGCGCGAAGATCTTCCCCTATCGATCCACGTCCTAACTTCGCTAAAATCTCAAGGGCTAACTCGACGAACTCGCAACACAAAGGAAACAAGATTTATACTGGTTTGGGCCATTGTTGTGGTGTAATACTCTACTCCAGTGTGGTGTGATGGATTGTCTCTTGGGCTGAGAATGAACAATACAAGCGGAAGAACAGCCTTCTGATGAGAGGTGTTCTTATGCTTGGTGAACTTGTGGTTGTCGGATCTCCCCTCCTAGCTATGGTGGTGCTAGTCCTATTTATAGAGGCCATGGTCCTCTTCCTAAATATTGAGCGGGAAGGAAGCCAACAACGGCCAATTTGAAAGGGGACAGATAGTACAGCTTATCCTGACAAAAGCAGTCTTTGCCTGCAAAAGGCTCTGGTGGTGACACCTCCTTGGGCTCCATGGTGACCTCTGTCTTGCCGTCCTGCTGGTCATGGTCTCATTGCACCTATATGGAAACCTTTGCTTGAGACCTCGGTACTCCGCGCCTGCTTGCTTCCTTAGCACCAAAGAGGAAACAAGAACACTGTGCGCGCTGGCGCCCGCCTGATCTTGATCGTTATGGCTCACATCATTCAAACCTCGCGAGGTTTGCCTTGCCTTGAACTCTCCGCCCCTCGCGAGCCAGCCTGGTGAGGGCGCTCCCGAGGAGGTCTTGTGTCGTCCGCCTCGCGAGGCTTGGCCCCTCGCGAGGGTCTTGGGTGCTTGTTGGTGAAGATGGGCCGTTCGAGCCCGCTCGCAGAGCCACGCCATGGATCGCAGGTAGGCAAGTCTGGGGACCCCCGTTCCCAGAACGCCGACAGATACATGTTCGCGTTAGGACCATCCTGCAATAGTGATGTATTCATGTTGTAGCTTGTGGCGAGTGTAAGCCTTTATCTGGTATTCTCATCTATTCAGTACATGGTATGTTATAATGATATATCCACCTTGCGAAGCGTCTTCGATATGCGCTTCTATCATTTGCGGGACTTTCAAGTTCCTTGATGATAGGACCGCATATTGGGCGCTACACGATGCTATCGTTGATTCGAAGATTCGACATCGAGCTCTCGTGACCAAACAATGGGACCTGCGTGGGCCATCAATGTCAATGCTAAAATCGGCAGATCTCGAATAAGGGGCGTCGAGCTGGTGATCTGAGCTAGATGATAACATGAGAAAATACTATGTTGGGATATGCTAGAAGGGGTCTAATTTCACAAAATAAGAAAAATTACTTTCAAATATAATTTTGAGAGGGTGTCCTAAGACATGAAATGGGACTGTTAGTTCAAATGGATCCACACGTAAAATTTGTTTATCAGGGTCGCACAAAACAGATTAGTTTTAGAGTAGGTGACAGTTGTATTACAATAATAATCTTCCAACTACCTTGTCTACAGGATACTCTCTTCGTCTCAAAATAAATGTCTCAACTTTAATATAGTATTAAAATTGAGACACTTATTTTGAAACGGAGGGAGTATTTGATATAGTGGACGGCATGTCAACCAGATGAAAATAAAAAATAAATATGATTTTCGGTTTCAAACATGTTGTAGTTTGAAAATCAAAAGTATGGGTTGGGTAGTAGAGATGGGTGGCATGCACGTTACAAAAATTCGTGCTCCCACGACCACCGCTTCTTGGAGGACCGTACCCCGCCTAGCTAGCTACACCTCTGGTTGTTGCGGGCGCGTGCCTGTCTTCCCCGCCGCGCGCGTTCCTCTCGGCTGTTGAGGCGCGTTCCGGCGGTCGGGGAGAAACGGGGAGCCGGCTCCGGCCGGCGGAACGGCGTCTCAACCATGGGCAGCCTTTGCTCCAAGGAGCAGGTTGTCGAGGAGGAACACGTGCCGGTGCCGGTGCCGGACAGGTTGCGGCTGCAGAAAGCGCCCAGCCAATCCCTGAAGCAGCTCATCACTCTCACCGCCAAGGAGGATTCTGCGGTCGTCGCGCCGATCGTGCACGCCGTCATCAGCAGGTCCGAGTCCAGCGTCAAGCCCAAGGCGCAGCCTACCACCGCACCCCAGAAGAAGGCTCCGGTGCTCGTCGTCGCCTCTCTCAACAAGTCGTACAGCACAGCCGGGCTCACGCACCACCGGCGGCCCACCGTGGACACCGGCGACCATGATGCAGCGGACCCCATCCCGCAGGGCGTGCCCCAGGGGTTCTCCGGCGAGCACGTGATCGCCGGCTGGCCGTCCTGGCTAACCTCCGTGGCCGGGGAGGTGGTCCATGGGTGGCTGCCCCGCCGTGCCGACACCTTCGAGAGGTTGGACAAGATCGGGCAGGGCACGTACAGCAACGTGTACATGGCGCGCGACCTGCAGAGCGGCAAGATCGTGGCGCTGAAGCGGGTGCGCTTCCTCAACATGGACCCGGAGAGCGTGCGGTTCATGGCGAGGGAGATCCACATCCTGCGCCGGCTTGACCACCCCAACGTGATCAAGCTGGAGGGCATCGTCACGTCACGCCTCTCCCACAGCCTCTACCTCGTCTTCGAGTACATGGAGCACGACCTCGCCGGCCTCGCCGTCACCCCGGGCCTCCGCTTCACCGAGCCGCAGGTCAAGTGCTTCATGAGGCAGATCCTGGCGGGGCTCCACCATTGCCACGGCCGTGGGGTGCTCCACAGGGACATCAAAGGGTCCAACCTGCTCATCGACGACAACGGCGTGCTCAAAATCGCCGACTTCGGGCTGGCCACCTTCTTCGACCCGGCCAAGACACAGCACCTCACGAGCAGGGTCGTCACGCTGTGGTACCGCCCGCCGGAGCTCCTGCTCGGAGCCACCGAGTACGGGGTCGCGGTCGACCTGTGGAGCACCGGCTGCATCCTCGCCGAGCTGCTCGCCGGAAAGCCCATCATGCCCGGACAGACCGAGGTTCCTAACTACTAAGCTCATCTTAGTAGTAATTTGATTTTGGTCTCTACTTACTCCCTAGTAGTGTAGTATGAAACTCGATCTCACTTGTGTGAGTGCGCAGATTGAGCAGCTGCACAAGATCTTCAAACTCTGCGGTTCGCCGTCTGAGGAGTACTGGGCCAAGGCGAAGCTGCCGGACGTGACCCTCTTTAAGCCGCAGCGACCCTACAGGCGCCGGACGGCCGAGACCTTCCGGGACTTCCCTCCCACGGCGCTGGACCTCGTGGACACGCTGCTGGCCATCGAACCCTCCCACCGGGGCACCGCAGCTTCGGCACTCGACAGCCAAGTAAGTAGCCTCTCTCTTCCAGCGTCGCGCTCACAGCAGCATCGACTTGTACCGGTTTTCAGGCAAGGCTCCGTAGAACCACCCATTTTATCTTTCTTTTTTTCATGAATAGAGTACCTATCACAAATTAGGTTTGGTTTGTCTTTGAAAAAAAAAATTCTACAGAACCCACTCTTGCCTGAAAACCGGTAGTTTTACGCTATATACTCTGATTTTGCAGCGACTGACAGACACATTGCTGCAATGCAAATGGGATCTCATCAGTTCTTCAGAACCAAGCCGTTGGCGTGTGACCCGTCGAGCTTTCCCAAGTACCCGCCAAGCAAAGAGTACGACGCCAAGCTCCGCGGCAAGGAGGCCATGAGGTACTCGCATTGATCGCCACGGTTCCCGCCCTTAATTACGACGTGACTTTGACTCTTTTTTTTTTTGGTTGTTGATAGGCAAAACGCGGCGGCAACCATAGCAGGCAACGGCTCCCTGTCCGTGAAGCCGGGAAGAAACGACGAACCCAAGCCAGTAGACGCCGCTGGAGCAGACCGCCAGGTACGTACTAGTACTTCATTTCATTTCTTCTCAGCTCATCCGATCCCTCATGTCTCACGACGTGCGCGCGCGCCAAAGGAACTCAAATCATTATTATCTGTCATGTTTATGTTTCTATACGTACATCTGTATCTATACCTATACCTACTATTAAAAGAGATATTCTTACTTTCGTCCCACTTTGTTTCGTTCCGTTTCAATTAAATTTATGTAAGCTATTTGGTTTCGTTACTGCCATCCATTTTGACCCAACAAAGAAAGCCCATCTAACGACGAACTGTGAGCCAGGTCAGAGAAAAATAAAATTGTCAAGTCATAACCTGCCAATCGGCCACACATAGTTTTTTTTGAGCATCAGTACAGACACAAGCGCTCATATACACGTGCATACACTCACCCTTATGAACGCACACACGCACACCTTACCCCTATGAGCACCTCCGAGAGACTGAGCCGGCATATCTTGAGATTTACAAAATCACCGTAGGCGCCTCGTCGTCGACGGGAACGTCTCCTCCCACTGAAAGCGTATCGCCGGAAATCCTGAAATAAATCCAGAAATAATGCGAACACCAGGATTTGAACCCTGATGAGTTGGGGATACCACTGTCCACCTAACCAACTCAACCACAGGTTGATTCGCAATCGACCACGCATAGTTTGTCCAACTGACCCAGCTAAAAATATAATTGGATTTTTTTCCGTTGCAACGCACGGGCCTTTTTGCTAGTATGTACATACATACACTACATAATAATAATTTATTTATGTTTGCAGAGGAGGCAGGTGCGTAACAACCCGAAGAGCAGCAGCCACCACTGCAGCACGCTGGAGGACAGCATGTCGGGATTCCGCATGGAGCCGCGGGCAGCCGCCGGGCAGCTGTCGACGATGCAGAACGCCGGGCAGTTCGGGTCGACGTGGTACAGGAAAGACTACCAGCGCGGCCGCGGGTTCCAGCGAACGACCAGCTCCGTCAGGGTGTTGAACCACGCCGCGCACCTGACGTCGCAGAGGTCCTACGCCACGTCCCGGGGCACCGACCTGCACCCGAGCTCGTCGGCGGCCAGGAATAGCAACTCCAAGTACAACCGCCTCGACGTCGCCGAGCCCGCCAATGCGCTTGACAGGCCCGTCCCTGCCAACAAAGACACCGCCATGCCCACGAGGGACGCCCCTTCAGCTGTGCCTGTGAGTATCTGTCAAATTTTGTTGCTGCTGCTGCAGCGTGACGCATTCTTTGACACACGCTGATGGTGTGTTTGTGATTCATCAGGGTTACAGAGGGCGGAACCGGAGGATGAACTACTCCGGCCCGCTGGTGCCGCCGGGAGGGAACATGGACGAGATGCTCAAGGAGCACGAGCGGCAGATCCAGGTGGCGGTGCGCAAAGCGCGCGTCGACAAGGAGAGGATCAACCGCAACCATTACTCACCAGCGGTAGAAAATGACATGCCATCCTCACCGCCAGATCGAGCCTGTCGTGCGTGCACAGAAACACCTCCACCATAGGCGACCTACAGGATCTCCAATGCGGGCTCGCTGCCGCCGCTGCACGCAGAGTTGGGAGGATTCGAAAAGCCTCAAGGGAAATGAGACTTGTACACCGGGCTGTATTGATGAAAAAACATGTGTGTACCGACAAACCGGATGGTCATGGCCCATGCAGCATAATGAGTGAATCTACACTCTAAAATATGTCTGTATGTAGTCCATATTAAAATCTTTAAAAAGATTTATATTTAGAAACGAAGGGAGTAGAAGCTACCGCGAGAATTACGATGCATTCATTAAAATACCAACAACAGACGTGCTTCTCCTCCAAACCATCCGGAGAGACAAAACAATTTGTTTTACATGAATCACTCTACTTGTATTGAGGTTTAAAATGCTTGTTGATAGAGGCGAGGGTGTCCCGATCTTTCGATGAGATGATAACTATCGATTTGGTGGAGACGACTTTGACGATCCGACTACAAACGTGCACGATGTTGCGCCTTAGCAATCGTTAAACCAATCTCCTGAGGTTACTGACGATGCCGGAAGCACAGTCAGTCTGACCACGAAGGTCTATTCCTGCAAGCAATCGAAGAACGAGCAAGAATATGATAAAACAATCTAAATATTGCAAATATATATGAGGTATTGATAATGATGGGGATCCGTAAGCGGTCTTGGTCTGGTCGTTGGACACAAACGAAGTACACGAAGTTGAAATGGCTAACTTTTAACTAAACAAATCCCAAGGAAAAAGCTACTAGATGGATCTACTTATATAGGAGCAAGGGGTGGCGGACAAGGAGGTGGGAGGACGTCCCAAGGCAGCCTAAAACTAACCCTAGGTCGTACAAGGCTCATGGGCCCAAGTGGAGGTGATGCAACACCTTTGGGCTTGTAATTTGACTCGGATTCTACTGCAATGTTAGATTGTTTCGTCCGTAACTCAACGCTCCGGACGAATTTGAAGGTGAATCCAATTGGGTTGGAAAGAGCACGAAATCTAGTTTCCAACAAAAAAAGAATCACCCAATTCGAAGTCCGTATGAAAAATTTGTTGGCGTTTTGAGTCAGGTATGTCTGTGCAGTCCGAATCTGAATCCAAAACGTGAGAGACTTGGACTCTATCTTCTCTTGGCCCAAAAGTGACGTGAGAGGACTTTTTGAACACAACCTAAACTTCTCCTTTTCCCTTATCTTCATATGTGGATTGTACAAATGTCCCATACACCTGCAATTAGACAAAACACAAAAGTGTGTGAAGTATTTTTGTTCTGGATAACATAAATAGATTATTGAATAGTTTGCATTAGAAATCACCTGACAAATATGCATGTATGCAATATTTTTGGTCGTATCCAAGGTATTCATGTCCTCATCATCCTCCCCTTTTTGAAAACAAAGCCGTCCTCGGCGTTGCTTAATCTGAAATGTGGCTAACAAAAGAGACAAGGTGTACATGTTGTATATGTATATGTCATCCAGTTTAACTTTCCTTGATTTTTGCACGTATGACACATGTATACACGAGTAACTTTCATAGTTCATAAAAACTAAAGCCAAAAAATTATCACAAGAAGTAGAAGGCATGAAAATATTAGAACTCAGTTTGCACATATAAGTGAAGCTCTTATTCATTTCAAAAGATTCGCAATGTTCATCCTTAAACCATCCCAACTTTGGTGAATAAACCTTACTTGCATCAAATTTACATGCTACGACATGCTTAAATAAGCAAACATGCAATAAGTCATTGGACACAGAATCATCACCAAGATTGGAGGCCATATCAAAATGATTAAACATTAGTTCTTTTGCATCAACAGTTAATTCAATGGGTGCACTCAAAATTGTTGATATTTCAGTTGTTTGATCACTCTCTAAAATAGGTGGTGTGCTCAAATCAACAGGTAACTCAATACATGACGCATTCAAGTTAACTAGGAATGCATCTTTCTCATGTGAAGTTATATCATCAATATCTTTACTGTTACCTTGTGGCAAAGATGTAGCTGATGTAGGTACGGACGTTGACAATGTACCATACCCTTGAGATGATGCCGCGCTCATAATCCGAGGTGCAATGATGGAGGAACCCACCGGCGGTGGTGAGCATGAACTGGAATAGTAGTTATTGTAGTCACCTAATGCATCCTCCTGTATCTGTCTCTCAAAGGTACAAGCACGGACATACATACCAGTAATGCAACGAGGAATATACTGAAATCTTGCCTGAATATCATGGTTCAAACCACCAAAAAATCTATTCATTGTATCATTCTCAGATTCTTCTATGTCACAATGATGCATATAAGATTTGAACTCTTGGTAGTAAGCATGAACAGTGTTGTTGCCTTGTTTAAATTGTTCAAATTTGCGAAGCAATTCACGACGATAATAAGGAGGGGAAAATTGTTGTCTCATTACAGCTTTCAAAACATTCCAAGTTGTGGGTTGATTATCAATGTTTTTCTTACAATGTACACTCCACCAAACAGAAGCAAAACCAGTAAATGCTCTAATGGTAGCTCGTACTCTCTCAAATTCAGAAAAATCATGGTGACTAAAAACTTGTTCTACTTCAAGCTCCCAAGCTAGATAAATAGCAGGATTAAATCTATCCTCAAATGATGGTAAAGAGATAACCTGACCATATGCTTGTGTGTGTTGTCCCAACTCTCGTGATGGTGACGATGTGTCCGTCATCCAAGAACTTCTATCTCTGCAACCTGTCATGATTAGTAGAAACAAGAACCAAAATTCGAGAATAATGTTCCTATGAACTACTAGGATGTGGTTGTAAAGTGCTCACAGTAAAGCAAATATCAATATCTTACAAGTTCTTACCATGCGGCAGGTGGTGACAGGCAACCAGCGGTGTCAAATAACTCCGAAGATTGTGTAAAACGATTGCCAGGGGAACGTACGTATACACGGTGTAGAAATATGTGGAGCTGGGTTGGCTATATATGGTAGCAAAAGATTAGCAATAATCAATTCAGAGATGCAATGTTGAATAAACGCTCAACGACGGTACTGTGCTGGTCCTAGGCTAGACCAAACTAGAGACGCGAGCCTAGAACACTAATGAGGTCACGTCGTAGCACAACTAGCATTAATAAAGGATATGAAGTAGCTCTGGACAGCAAGATATAAGTGAAGATCACAATAGCAGTAGACCTATTTAGAAGCTGATGTTGAGGTGCCAAATACTGAGCTAGCTTCTACAACTATTTAGATGTGGCTCGTCGCTAGCTTTCATTTGAGTACTCGCGGAGCCAAAACAGACTTCATATGAGGAAGTTATGCCTGTTTTACTGAACAGTGCACAAAACAGATTCCAATCCGAATTCAACTACGAGATTGAGTCTAGATAGATCCGAATTTTGTTTTTTTTCTCCTCTCTTTTTTTTCTCACACTTTTTTTTCTTTTCCTTTCTTTTTTTTCTCTGACTTTTTTTTACTTTTTTTCTCTTGTTTTTTTCTCTATCTTTTTTTTCTCTCTCCCTCTTTCCAAAACAAACTAGATAAGATGTAGATTGGATCAAGCGAAGATGGGAACGATCTCAACTATGATTCTGACAATGAACTGTGGGTAGCACGTGGAGGAAATTGATGGATGGGTGGTGGACAGCGGAAGGGATAATGATGCAACGGCGACGTGACTAATGTGAACAGAACTCGAAACTCTAAACGACCTAGACACTAAGACCAGCAACTCGACACGACGATTGCAACCGATAATTCAACTATGCAAGCAATGAAAAGGAAATTGCAAAGGCTCAGACTGGCTTGGACCAAGGATAAATAGATCTAACTCTTTTTTGTAGCTTTTTCTTGGACAATAGGTAAGAAAATAAATCTAATCTAGGAAAACTGGAAATTCTCACCGAGCAACCTGAAAACTGATACCACTTGATAGAGGCGAGGGTGTCCCGATCTTTCGATGAGATGATAACTATCGATTTGGTGGAGACGACTTTGACGATCCGACTACAAACGTGCACGATGTTGCGCCTTAGCAATCGCTAAACCAATCTCCTGAGGTTACTGACGATGCCGGAAGCACAGTCAGCCTGACCACGAAGGTCTATTCCTACAAGCAATCGAAGAACGAGCAAGAATATGATAAAGCAATCTGAATATTGCAAATATATATGAGGTATTGATAATGGTGGGGATCCGTAAGCGGTCTTGGTCTGGTCGTTGGACACAAACGAAGTACACGAAGTTGCAATGGCTAACTTTTAACTAAACAAATCCCAAGGAAAAAGCTACTAGATGGATCTACTTATATAGGAGCAAGGGGTGGCGGCCAAGGAGGTGGGAGGACGTCCCAAGGCAGCCTAAAACTAACCCTAGGTCGTACAAGGCTCATGGGCCCAAGTGGAGGTGATGCAACACCTTTGGGCTTGTAGTTTGACTCGGATTCTGCTGCAATGTCAGATTGTTTCGTCCGTAACTCAACGCTCCGGACGAATTTGAAGGTGAATCCAATTGGGTTGGAAAGAGCACGAAATCTAGTTTCCAACAAAAAAAGAATCACCCAATTCGAAGTCCGTATGAAAAAGTTGTTGGCGTTTTGAGTCAGGTATGTCTGTGCAGTCCGAATCTGAATCCAAAACGTGAGAGACTTGGACTCTATCTTCTCTTGGCCCAAAAGTGACGTGAGAGGACTTTTTGAACACAACCTAAACTTCTCCTTTTCCCTTATCTTCATATGTGGATTGTACAAATGTCCCATACACCTGCAATTAGACAAAACACAAAAGTGTGTGAAGTATTTTTGTTCTGGATAACATAAATAGATTATTGAATAGTTTGCATTAGAAATCACCTGACAAATATGCATGTATGCAATATTTTTGGTCGTATCCAAGGTATTCATGTCCTCATCACTTGTAAGTTCCCACTTGATAAAGCAAAGAGGACCACAACACAAGCATCAGAAAAGGAGGCCTGTTGCAATTCATATCCAAGCTTAACAAAACATGAAAACCTATGAGATCTAAGGG